AGCTTCGGGAATCAGTCTCCCCAACTGATGCTGCCACCTCTGCGGGGTTTCTCTGAGTCACCTGCTCCGTCTACCCCTAGCTTTTCTCCGACGGATGTAGAGGCCATGCTCAAACAACTTCTCTCCCATCTGGTCACCTCCTCCTACTGCTTTGTCTGTAATCCCAGGTAACTCTTCTTGGTATTTTGACTCTGCCTGCTGTAATCATATGACATCCAGTCTTACTATCTTTTCTTCCTTCTCTTCATCTCCTCATATTCCCTCAATACATACTGCTGATGGTTCCCTCATGTCTGTCCGTCATGTTGGTACTGTTTCCACCCCTTCTTTATCTATCCCTCAAGTTTATCATATCCCTGCTCTTACCTTAAATCTTATTTCCATTGGTCAATTATGTGAACTTGGTCTAACTGTCACATTTTCTGCTACTGATTGTGTACAGAACCCTCAGACAGGGCAGACTATTGGGATCGGCCGTAAGCATGGACGTCTCTATGAACTCTTGCACCTTCATGTTCCTGCCTCTCCTCAGATTGCTGCTCCTACATCTACTTCCTCATTATCTCCCTTTCATCTTTGGCATTGTCGTTTAGGCATATTTCTGTTAATCGTTTGAAGTCTTTGGTTTCTAGTGGACAATTGGGTCATGTAATTCCTGATAATTTTGATTGTATCCCCTGTCAACTTGCCAAACAACCTGCTTTATCATTTAATAAAAGTACGTCTGTTTCCCTTGCACCTTTTGATCTTATACATTCAGATATTTGGGGCCCTCCCCTATACTACTATGGGAGGATCCCGCTATTTTGTTGTTTTTATTGATGATTTTTCCCGGTTTACTTGGTTGTTTCTCATGAAAAATTAGGTCTGAACTTAAAACACATTTATTATAGGTTTGCCCAAAATGGTCCACACCCAATTCTCCAAAACCATCAAAATTTTTCGCTCTGACAATGCTATGGAATATCGGGATTCGATTTCCTTTCCTTTCTTCAACATCATGGTACACTGCCTCATCGTTCTTGTGCTGGACTCCCAGCAAAATGGCCGCGCTGAACGGAAACATAGGCACATTCTTGACACTACTCGCGCTCTACTTCTCTCTTCTTCCTGCCTGAAAATTTTGGGGGAAGCTGCCCTCACTGCTGTTTACAC